AGTTGTGCATATTGCAGTTCTTAGTTTCGAGGATTCGGGGGCAGATTTGTCGTCGTATTTCGGAGACAGGAACTCGGGCTTCATCGCGAACCTTCTCAGGGAACTCGTGTAGCATGGAACTCGGCACCGGTGCAGTGATACTCGAAGTAGATCCCTCGCAGAGAAACTCGAACCAAGAATCGGAGCGAGACTGTGCCATGGCTACGAAGTGGCTAATCCAAGTCGATGGAGGTCGAGTTAGAGGGCTTGAGGCGCCCTTCGAAGTTTCTCTTTCGAGCTGTAGATGCAGCGGGTTCGGGATTATGAAGTTCCATGCCGAAATCATCACGAAAAATGTCTGCCAAATGCTGATTATGCAGATCGGTCTCATGTACAAGAAGAGCAGCATCGGTGTCCGCTGGAAGGGGTACATGGTCGGATTCGGGATGTAGAGAAGCCTCGACGATCTCGAACGGCACCGTCAGCGGCTCCGCGGAATCGTCGCGGTTGGTAATATGCAGGTACAGGAAGGCCTCGAGGTTGGGCGGCTTCAGCAAGGTCGCCGCCAGATTGACAATGTCGTTCGCCGTCCGACACTGGGAGATTTGATCAATGGCCTTTCGAATTTGTCGGGATTGTCGCTTGTTCCAGGCTCCCCACGTCACATCCTCGGGTTTCTCGATCTGAAAGTCTTCGAGAACTTGCTCACGGCTAAATTCCTCGAGCGATTCCTTCAAGCTGTCGACAACTGACAGAGAAGCCGTAGTGCTCGAAGTACTGCCCGCCAGCAGCGGTCGTAATAGAACTCGAAGTACTGGCCGCCCAGAGCGGCTATGACCGAGGAGTGATCCGAGGGGACTGAAACAAAATCTGCTCAAGCTGTAACAGCTTTCGCCAAAATGGCCACGGAGTGTACAATCACTCGAATTGAATCGGTGAGTCAATCCCCTGACCGATTCGGTGTTTATGTGAGATAATGAGTTGTCACTTCGCACAAACAAGTGTGTGCTACACTACAACGTTTGCTAAAGTTGTAGTATGCCAGTTTCAATTGTAGTTTTGAGGGTCAGTATACAGAACTAAGTATTAAGGAATGCTGCCAAAAACAGAGACTCTCTAATGGGATTGCGGCATTACAGTACCAATATGAAGCAATTAGTTCCAAAATCTAGTTCGACATAAGGCATGACTGAACCAGACTCAAGACTAATGCGAAAGCACATCTGTTCAGAGTTCTGGGATCGTCGGGGCTTTGGGGAGGAGCTGAAGGTTTGGAGTTTATAAACTTTGTCTGGGTAAACTTGTACGAGTTCACGAAGTGCGGGCTTGTGGCAGAAGCGCAGGCTAAAATGGGGGTGGGGAATCAAAATATACATATATATACATATATATATATATATATATATATGGGCGCACCCCTATTTGGGGTCCCCTACGTTTTTCGCTACATCATCTGACTGAGCTATAACCACCAGACTAGGTTATAACCAGCCGATTAGGTTATAACCAGCCGACTAGGTTATAACCGTTCGAATAATTTATAATCAGGTATACATTATCGATATTTCAGTTTTTTCCAACAAGCGTGCTGTAGTCATTAGTCTGGTTCAGTCATTCCTTATCGCGAACTAAATTTTGGAACGAAAAGTTTTCCATCTTTGTACTGTAATGCCGCAATCCCATCAAAGTCTCTGTTGTTGGGCGCATTGCTATGACGTTTTGGCAAACTGATAGCTTTCAATGACATATCCCTGTGCCCCTATGTGATTGCTTGTAGACACTGGTATATCCGGTAGGTATATTTGAGTGGTGCATTCCTTATTTCTGTATGACGGCTGCCCCAAGCCAAACTTGAAAACTTGCACACTACAAGCTTGGCAAACTTTGTACAGTGTTTTTCCTGGGGGACGACATGAAGCGTCGCTTCTTAGGCCTGGCACTGTTTCTATATGCTCAGAGATGAGGCCTGTGCTTTTTGTATCAGCATACCTTAACCATCACGTAAAGCTCACTGAAAACCATAAAGCTACATCTAGCTTGTCCGAATTTCTGTTTGTGTTCTTGTGAATATTTTCTGAAGGTCGAACAGAAGCCATTGTTCCCAATCCAGAACGTGCTCCTCGTTTTAGAAAAAGTGGTAAACACACACCGAATCACTCCTCGAAAGAGGTACATCCATGTAGTTGGAAATAGCATTGCAAGGAATTTTCTACGTACCGAGCGAGGAAACCTAACAGTTTGCAAGTTGCAAATCGCTCACCACACATATTCTTATCAGTTTTATCTCATCGAAATCCTGCTTCCTTGGAACGATGTTTGAACATAACGTTGCAACCAGTTCGCCTATGTACGAAGTGATGAAACCTGACCACGCTGTAAGCTTTGATATACTATCTCTCCCTACAATGACGTCGTATCAGTCGTATCTCAACTTTTTTGTGTACCGTGATATTCCAATGTTGACAACACTTACTGACCTACTGTAATCCCGATAGAGACCCTTCATCTTCCGCATTTTGATTCCTGGGTCATTGACATGTTAGCGGCTATTCTCTCAATGTGTACATAGGTCTCATAAGCCCGATGTACTGAAACGGACAGACCATTATGTAAAGTCCGCCATATAGCCTTTCCGCTAAAGTTGGGGAATGCGCATATGGTCCCCGGAATTATGTTTGTTACAAAGCACTGCATCATGCCTCAACAACCGAATACATGCCAATTACCTCGGACCTTCTTCTAGTCCTTGTTTAGTTTCATTGCGGTTACATTTCCCCTGAAGCACCGAAACTTTCGAACGTTTGGATCTAGGTCTAGGTGTTGATGAAGTAGCGGTGGCACAGATTTGCTTCGTAAGGTTTATATTGTGCAACAAACAATCAAGGCACCCCAATTTACAAACCACAACCCTGGTATGTAAGCCCCCCGGTGTTTCGACACAGTTTACCAATATTGCAGGTTCACCATCAAGTGTTGGGTTTGGGTTTTACTGCTTAGGGTTTGGCGCTAGGGTTTGGGGGAGACTTAGACTTAAACCATTATACCGGCTCGCTTGCGCGATACGACACGGAAGACTTAAACCATCAAACCAATAAACCAATCCATTTGATCTATAGGGCACGGCGGGAGTCTTCAAACCCTGAACGTATTTTGCAGCCTGGTTATAACCTCTGTCCCCGGTTATAACCAGGACACCTGCGTAGTAGGCAGCCCTAGACCCATCACTAAACCATTAAACCATTATCCTTTCCCCCAATGGAACCAATCCAATAAACCATTAAACCAATCCTTTTGCCCCATAGCACTAAACCATTAAACCAATCCCTTTACCCCATACCACCAAACCACTAAACCATTAAACCATTAAACCAATCCTTTCCCCCAATGCACCTAAAACACTAAACCATTAAACCATTAAACCAATCCCTTTACTTCATACCACTAAACCACTAAACCATTAAACCATTAAACCATTAAACCAATCCGTTTGCTCCATACCACTAGACCACTAAACCACTAAACCATTAAACCATTAAACCATTAAACCATTAAACCAATGCTTTCGGCCCATACAGGGATGTGTCTCTCTCTATAGGGGAAAATGATTGGTTTAATGGTTTAATGGTTTAATGGTTTAATGGTTTAGGTCCATTGGGGGAAATGATTGGTTTAATGGCTTATTGGTTTAATGGTTTAGGTCCATTGGGGGAAATGATTGGTTTAATGGTTTAATGGTTTACTGGTTTGGGTCCATTGGGGGAAAGGATTGGTTTAATGGTTTAATGGTTTATTGGTTTAGTGGTATGGAGCAAAAGGAATGGTTTAATGGTTTAATGGTTTAGTGGTTTGGGTGTGCCAAAACCCAGGGGACCCCATATAGGGGGGTACCCATATATATATGTATGGTCTTTTCAGGTGCCCCAAGTGTGTTTTGATGCAACCCTCAACCCAAACCCTAAAAGCCCTAAACCCTAAACCCGAAACCTCTGAACCCTAAACTCTAAACCCTCAAAACCCTAATACCTAAAACCCATGCCAGCCTGTGAGCAAGTGCGCAAGTCGAAGCCCTAAACCCACCAGAAGTGGGGGCACTGAAACACACTATACCTATATATATATATATATATACATAATATGGAGAGAGAGTGTGTGTGTGTGTATATATATATATGTACAAATATATGTATGTGTACAAAATATGTATTGTGTATATGTAAATGACATCATGTGCATGTGTAAGTGCATGTGCATCTGTATCTGCGTCTGTATGTGTACGTGAACGTGTATATGTGTATGAGTACGTGTATGTGTCTGTGTATACATATATAAGGTCGGCGCTGCAAGTGGCTACCGACATCGACGGCATCGAAAGGCCTTCCGCTTGCAAGTCATGAGATGCACTTCGCGCCGAGCAGTCCATGTTTAGCAAATGTGTTGCAGGTTTGGGTACTCTAATTTTTTGGGACTGTTTTTGTGCAGCAGTTGTGCACATGCCTATAGGGCGAAGAGGAAGGGCGGTGGTCTGAGCGTTCGCGGCTTACGACCAGCGATAGCAGGGAGTTGGAAACATGCACATGTTGTGCGGCCGGTTTCAGCGGACCATGATGTTTCGGGATCTCGCAGAGATGAGGTTGTGCATGATGTTACGGTGTCCTGCGCACACCATCGTAGCTGCCGCAGTTCCTGCAAATCACAGGCAGCACAGAGCTGTTAGCCCCCGCTGTGCAAGCTTCAGGCACACAAGCAACCCCCCCCCCCCCCCCCCCATTCGCCTCGCGCGCTGCAGACGCTGCCTGACAGTGCGACAGTGCGGCTAAGCACAGCGACTCGGCATAGCCGCCCTGCCGCCTCCGACTCCACCAACCATTCAGAAAGCCAATCATTGATCTGCTGTCGCTCCAATTCCTGGACACCTTGAGGATGCTGTCACTGCGCACTGTGAATCGCATGCGAGTGGAGCGTCCTGCGACAGACGGGACCCAGGGAGCCAGCACCTCGGAAACTTCTGCTTTCCGTGCCTTTTATGCTGACTTGTTGAGCCGAGGAACCCCTGCACCCTTTCGGTACGGCTCCCGCGCACCTCTCGCAGGACCAGAGCTTCCCGAAGAGGCTGAGATCTTCTCAGGTCAGTGCCCGTCAAACTGCAGCCGGGATTGCGACCTGCCTCCGACAAAGGTCCCCACTCGAGCAAAGCGCACAACGCACGCTGATTGAGCTCTCTCTGAGCCGTGGACCAGGGTGCGAAGCCAAGGTCGCCATGGAAATTGGTAGATGCAGTACCTGCCGGTACTGCACAGCAGGAGCCCGGCTGTCCCCACGCCTCGGCCGGCTGTCCCCTCCCCTTCTTGGGATCACACTGATACAGGTCTCGCAGCGGCTGACCTGAGCTCCACGCAGAACTCTCTCCTCCCATCTCCCATCCCTGCTCTCCTTCTCTCTGTCACGACTCTCTGCCTTGGCAATCGTAGATGGGCCATCCCTCCGCGTCGGTGATGACCCCGTGCCCTGTGGCCTGATGAAAGTGCAGCAGGGCGCAGTACCGTAGCGCCGCAGTGCCGTGCAAAGCACAGCATCCCTCGCCCCGTCGGCACCTCACTGATCTGCACCTTGAGCGCATCATATGCATCGCATCTCCTGAAAAGAGCGCTTCTTTGTTCCAGATTGCAGATCGCTCAACAAGGTCCTCTCCAACCAGATCCTCACGCAGTGATACTGGAAATTTACCACAAGCAAGCAAAGGAACTTTTGGTGCGCGGCAAAAGGCCCAAGTGCTCTCGCTGCAGCTGCCAAGCAGCTCCACCGGAGCCTCCCGACTCGGTCCAACTGGGCAGCATGACGCAGACCGGACCCCCTTTTGCACAGCACCGTGCTTTGGGGCCTTCTGCCAGTAGCTTCCTGGACATCGAGATCGCGAGTCGGGTTTGCAAAACGAGGCAACATGTGCGCGATGCTGCTGACTATGGGCCCCTGCCGTCGATGTGGATCTCCTGCCACGGCATCCCAGGTCTCTTCTCTACTATATCACCCCATCACGCTCTCGCTCTGCGCCTCCAGCTTCTTGCTCTTGACAGCTTGCTTTGGCTATCTCTCGCAAGTCTCGCGCCGATCTGGAGGTTGAGCTCCTGGCAGTCCGTGTGAGCGAAAGGCGCTTTGCAGCCTCCGGCAGTCTGGGTTGGGGCCGTGGCCCTGTAAAGATGGACTCCCGAGCCAACAGTGCCTCTTCGGGCGGCAAGACCTGCCATGGCAGCGAATCGCCGAAAACGGCCCATGAAGGTCGCTGACCGCAAAAAGACAGCCCTCGTAGGCGCCCTTCCTTGGAGCGTTGGGCCATGACCACATATGGAAACGTTGACGCAATCACCGGGCCGGGGCCCGGACTGCTTCTTGGAGCTTTTCTGTTGCCAACTGAAGCGATCGTCTGACCAGGTAGCGGAAGAGGGGTTATTTTTTTTTGAGGTTTGGCGGCCCGGTTCTCTTTAAAAAGTTTGGCGGGATATGGGTTCGTTTGTAAGGCCAGCTACAGGACCCGCCCCTCCTGTTTGCCTAAACTCCCAAAAAGGTAGGTAGTTTCAGCAATGGCATGGCTGTGTGCTCACATGTATATATGTCCGTTGCTCGCTGGCTCAAGTGGTTTTACCGACTTGACACAAGCCCTCTCTGCGTAGCAGAACAAAACACTTGCTGTCCGTGTGCTGGGCGTTGCCTTAGATCCCACGGGACTTAAACTGGTCATACACTCCCACAGGAGTAATCCTAAAGGGGTGTATCGGCTCAGTTTTCTGGTAGCGGAGCCCGGAAGGGCCGCCCGCCTCACATAGCACCGCAACAGCGGTCGGCATTCAGCCGATCGCTTAACAAACGGGCTGAGGCAGCACCATGTCGAGCTCGCCTAGCGAAGCCGACGACAGCTCCCAATCCTCCAAAGGATATGAGGACGAAGACACCTCACAAGGTCCAGCTACTTATGTAGCACAGTCATATGCAACATCTGACCGCATGCTAGCCCAACTAGGCATCACGCCCAGAATCGCGCCTGCCTATGATGGCACCACTTCGTGGTTTGAGTATGAACAGTTGATTGACGACTGGTGCGACATAACAACGCTGGATGAGACGAAAAGAGGTCCGTCTCTCAAGACGAGGCTCTCCGGATTGGCCGCAGTGCAAAAGGAATCTTTAAACCGAGAAAGGCTTGCAGCCCAAGGTGGAGTAGATTACTTCAAGAAGAAAATGCGTCCATTCTTCGTGAAAGGAGAACAGTATGTTTTCCTCTGGCGGTTCCTTGGCCTGTTCAAGGCGTGGAAGGGCAACCAGGAATTCGTCACCTGGATTGCTAAGTTTGAGATCGTACTGCAGCGTCTAAGAAACTCTTGGATGGACCTCTTACCAGAGGTAACCCTGGAAGATGCCAATCCAGAATTCTTGTTGCCGTACAAGCAGATCCAACCTTCGGACGCCTACAGGATGTAAACGAACAGGAACAGTACGCCGCACGATACTTTGAGACGTGGAACAAGGAACGCCCTGATAGACATCGAAGAGCGTTTCCGCTAAACGATAATCTCCTAGCTCTCCTGTTCCTAGTGCAGTCCGACCTGAATGAAACACAACGTGAGCGGTTGGTATCAGCCTTGACCAACCAAGGGTTCCGAATTGAGACCTACACGTACCCTGTGGTACGACAGACCATGTTCGATCAGTTTTCGACGACCAGAACTGGTCTGAGGTCTGCAAGATCCCAACATTCGGCACACTTCTCACAAGAAGGACCGGCACGGACGGAGAGACCAACGCCGCAAACGCGGAGGTCGGAACTTCCTCATCCTCGATCAAGGTGAATATGATGGAGCAGATGGTTTCTGGCTCCAAGATGAAGACACCCTCGAGGAAGGCTTCCTTGCCGCTGAGGATGAGACTGTCTTTTGGACAGTCGATGATCATGAGAGGTCATACCGCGGAAAAGGGAGAGCCAACCAGGCAGAACATGATCCAACCGATTCCAGCTATTTCGGTAAAGGAAAAGGGAAGGAAAAAGGAAAAGGTGGAAAAGGCAAAGGAAAAGGAAAGGAAAGGAGACAAAGGAAGCTCTTTCAAAGGCGCTAAGGCAAAGGGCAAAGGTAAGGATACAGCTAAGTCTGCCTCCTTACAAGGAGACCAAACAGGATCTCCACAAGCCTATGAAGGTTCCACCACACCGAGCTGGGATTCATGGTATGAAGACAGTTATTACACTGAAACAGGTTGGAATTATGCCGCTTATGACGAAAATACGTCTTACACATATTATTAGCACAAGCCTCAAAACGAAAAGCACGGAAAAAGAAGAGAAGAACGAACAAAGGATCAACTGGAAGAGGCACAGATCCGAGCGCGCACCATGAAACCGTGTACAACTCCTCAGAGAGTTACGTGCCTTTGACACTGGAAGAATGTCGGAGGCCAGGTGTGGACACTGCAACAGCAGTATTTCCTCTGCAGCACACCGTCCTGTCTGCTCTTACAGCGGATCAATCTTGATCGAAGCCCTACCTTTGTCATTCTTGACTCAGGTTGTACAAGGGCCATGGGATCCCGCTATGCGGTGAACCGGCTTATGAAGGCCGTTAAGCAACATGCACCAGGCATGATTGATTTCACTTTCTCTCCTTCGAACACGAAGTTCTCCTTTGCGGATAGTGAAACAGCTCTTATCAAGGAGCGAGTCACTCTATGGTTTAATACAACTCCTAGGAGAGATACAACCATAGAAGTGCTTGATCAGGGTAGAGTTCCCATTTTGTTCTCCATTGAACAAATGAGGAACCTTCGGATGACCCTTGAGCGCAGTCCCACAGCAGATCTTGCAACGTGTGAAGCTTTTGGCCTCAATAAGACTCCACTTCCAATAAGCACCAATAATCATGTGGTATTGGATCTTCTAAGCTTCACTTCCACAAGGAAGTATCATTCTAAGTCAGGTTCGTCGTTTCAGGCGACGGAAACCGCCTTAGGATCGAAGAAGCCGAAAGAAGAAAGGAGATCCTACAAGAAGATCCCAGAAGGTCGCTGTCCAGCGTGTGCAGGACAGAAAAAGCCTCACACTTTCAAGAAAGGCTGCGACAAGGCACCTGAAGGAGCACCTGATCCTCCACCCAGAGGTACTCCGGGTAAGAAGAAAGCACCTCCACCAGATCCGGCCACCAGAATCATCTGGTGACGCTCCTGAGCCTGCCGAACCATCGGAGCCCTCATCAGGATCAAGAGACAAACCGCCTGAAGTTTCGGGAGCACCCGAACCTCCATCCGAAGAGAAACCTGAGCTTCCACCAGGAAAGGTGAAGACCCCAAAGGGTCTCAAGAATCTTTTGAAGAGTCGCAGGTATTCAGTCAAACCTCCAGTGGAGGAACAGTCTCTAGTCCCAGGAGCCGATCGCGGGACGGAGGTAAGACCACTTGAGTCAAAAGAATACCCTGCTCCTAGGACAGATTCACCATCAGGTGAGCGACTCCATGAGGAAGAGATTGTTCCTGAACCATCACCATCTCTTCCGATATCCCTTCGTAGGATTCATGAGAAGCTCAAGGATCCAGTAGAGCTTTACAAGCTTCATCTGAAGCATCGTCACATGAATACAGATCAGTTCAAAAGAAGAACGAAAGCTCTTCAGATCCCAAAGGAGATCTACGAACTTTACGACCTGGTCAAGAAATGTTCAGCTTGCCAGGAACACAAACGAGCTCCTTCAAGAGCAAAAATCTCTGGTCTAAGATCAGAAACCTTCGGTGATCTAACTTTTGTAGATCATGGAGAGTTGCCAATTCCTGGCAAGTCTAGCCGTCTCATATTTCCCATTCTTTACGATGGAGCGACAAATCTTCTGACCTCCGAAGTCGTGCAAGACAAGGAGGAACCCACTACAATGGCAGTTATGAATGAGTACTTTGAGAAATATCAGATCAACCCAAAGGTTGTTGTTGGAGATCAAGCCTTTATGACTCCAAAGATGGAGGCCTATTACAATCGGCAGAACATTAAGCCTGTGGCAACAGGCCCTGGCACACCATGGCCTAACAGGGCCGAGGCAGCTGTACGATTGCTGAAACATCAGATAAAAAAACATACTTCAGATCCTTAAGGATGGTGGCCCACAGTATAATGGGATCACTATGAAGTATGGTAATCTAGTGCGACAGGCATGTTTGGCAAGAAATTCCTCAATTACCTATGGAGGAGTAACTCCTCTAGAAATGGCATTTGGTAGACGTCCTCGAGATGTTATAACACCCGAGAATTCAGATCCCAATCAGCTGACCGGAAACCCTACTGATACTGAGGTTACGGCAAGAGCTATTAGGGAACTTGCCAACAATGCCTATCAAGAAGCACGACAATCTGATGATCTCCGAAGAGACCTAGCGTCTCGACTGTCAATGACCGAAGGACCCTTCTCCTTTGGAGATAAGGTTTACTATTGGTCTGAAGACAAATCCAAAATTGGATCAACCGGATCCAAACATGGATCCTGGCTAAAAGGAAAGGTAATCTCCGAACTCGGAGGTTCCATGGTAGGTGTTGATCTTGGAACACGCATTGTTCGTGTGAATATCTCAAAACTGAGGAAAAACTATGACATTACATCTGATGTCGAGATTCCTCTGGCACCAGACGAGGAGACACTAACATCTGAAGGTTCTGACCATGCCAGCTGTATGGTAACCTTTGATGCATCTCTTATTTCAGCAGATCTAACGGTTCCTCATCATGAGTGTCACTGGCAAGTGACTAGTGCAGGAAAAATTGATTTCCTGGAACTCTATGGAGGATCACCGCGCCTGAGCCACAAGGCTGCCCTTTCAGGATTGAGAGAGGACAGCCCATAGATCTGCGCAGTGGATTAGATCTGGAACAGCCCCAGGGTCGCTCAAAACTTTTGAGAATCATCAAAGAACAGGAACCTACTATCATTGTAATGTCTCCAGACCATTCCCAGTGGTCTAGCTGGTATTCCCAGTGGAAGAAAGGCTCTAGCAAGAGACTTGCTATCCTCAAGTTTTGTGAATCGATAGCAGATCACCAAATGAAACTCGGACGCTATTTTGCCCTAGAGAAACCCTACTATAGTAAGCTCTGGTCAACACCAGAGGCAAAACGTTTGTTCTCTAACCAAAGGGTTAGCTATGAAGTATGCAATCTACAGGCTTATGGCATGCAAGATCCAAAGGGATACTACGAATCAAGGTCATCGATCTTCATGCATAACCTGCCACAGCAGGTACTGACACCTATTCATAGGAATTGTCCAAGGCCGAAGTCTCCAACCTCCTCTCCGAGGAGTGAATCGGGTATTCAAG